TGTGTGTGTGTGTGTGTCCGTGTTTTACGGAGCAGATCGCTTCAGCTCGTGAGACATGTATACATTACTAATGTCTTGTCCTGATGTGCATATATACATGAGTGGACCTAACCTTTGTTGTAACACCCACTCTGCCATTGTAAACGACCAAGTCCGTGCGAGATGAATAAAGATTGTCATTGTCATTGTCATTGTCATTGTCATTGTCATTGTCATTGTCATTGTCACTGTAATTGTCGTTGTTATTGTCGTTGTCATTATTGTTGTCATTGCCATTGTCATTGTTATTGTCATTTTGGGTTATCCAGAAGAACAACTGGACGAGGTACAAGACTTTTTCTGCGGCCCTGTGGCGGACTACCTCAGCCTTCAGGTGGTCGACAAGGACGAGAAAGAGTGTGCCGTGGGGAAGGTGGGAACCGTCAGGGTCAAAGGTGAGAGAGAAAAAGATAGCACAAAGGGAGCGAAAAAGAGGGTGCCCACCCTGCGACTCGAAAGAGCTGAGGAATGTAGGACTAAGATGACCTAAACAATTATCTACTAACCAGTTGCTGTAACAATCTCCAGTTAGGGCTATGGCAACACTCAGAAGTGAAACTTAGCAATAAACGTTATAAGAGTGAAGTAACATATTATTTATTGATGTATTCATTCATTTACGTATATATATATATTAAAAAAACGTTCTCACGTGTGTTTACTCTAAGACTTACAGCTAATTTCAAAATCCAAAATGCTGCATACTGTGTTGTTATTACTAAACACAAAAGCGCCAGATGATAGAATTGGGCAGGGTAAAAAAAAAAGACTGCACAAAGTAGTTTCAGAACCTATAATATTATTATGCTGCTCTTGTAGAAAAATAGAACTATTTTATTTTTGTTAGTGTTAGACGGCTTTGTTGGAGCATAAATATGATTTCATAGACGTCGTGTTTTTTGTTGTTTGTTAGTTTTTGGTTTTTTGGTAAGTGTTTTTCGGCGCTGGCAACTGCATAAGGTCATATGAGCGCGCGAAACACACCAAACATTTTCAGTTGGTAGGAAATTTTGAATTTTGCCGGGTGGCGGCCGAAGCCTCCTCTTATCGATTTTGGACCACCAAGGGATCTCTAACTTTAACGTGTTTAACTTGCACACGGGATCACCGAGATTTTTCGCCCTTGTCCGAGAAGGCAAGGTGTAGATCTTTCTTACCATAAGACCAGGGGTGTGGCTGAAAGACAGCAGTAAGAAGGAGCCAAGGAGAAGCATTGCAGAAAAAGTCAGAGCCCAGAGGAGGGGCAAAGGAGGTGAGGGGGTGGTGGCAGAAAGTGGAGTCGAAAGCAGACGATAGAACATTGTTATAGACCAGGAAAGGATGTGAGAGGGTGGGGGAAGAAAGTGGAGTCGAAAGCAGACGATAGAACATTGTTATAGACCAGGAAAGGATGTGATAGGGTGGTGGCAGAAAGTGGAGTCGAAAGCAGACGATAGAACATTGTTATAGACCAGGAAAGGATGTGAGAGGAGAAAATTTAAGAGAAGAAAAATTTCCGTCGTTGTCCGGATTCGAACCCAGGACCTACTAGATGAGGGGCGAATACTTTAACCTCTAGGCCACCAGAGCCCCCGGCTTCGTGTTTCAATCCTGTAAAGTCACAGACTCCAAAGAAGAGGACTCCCCAAAAAACAAAAAAACAAAAACAAAAACAAACAAAAAACAAAAACAACAACAACAACAACAACAACAAACAAACAACCCCCCCCCCCCCTTCCACTCAGATTTTGGTTTCGAACCTCGGTCTTCCGTAATGAAGAGTCAAATGTGTAATGTACAAATTTAGCCCATCGTCTTTCTTATCTCCAAAAGAAAAATGTGCCGACAATCTCAGAGTTTGTGTTATTCGGGTAATGATTTGTCATATAGTAAAGAACAATTTTTTTTACTGTATGTAAATGTCTTTGTTTATTCTGCTTTATTTTTGTATTGTGTCATGATGTGTGCTAATAATATGTGAGGCAGCGTGGTGGAATCAGACTCTCGTCAATTTTTGGGCATGTAGAGTTATTGGTATTATCTTAAAGCTTGTCCACTTGTCTTTATTTGGATGAATAAAATATCCATTTATCTTGAATACAAGTCGAGACATTTGCGAAAGAAGGAGGTGGGAATCACCTTTTTCAGAGGTAAAATTAGTGAGAAAATGTCCGCCAAAGATTAGTTATTTCCTTAGCTTAAGAGTCCGTGGTAACTTAAAATTTACATTTTTTGTGTGCCTTTAATCAACGTTTTTCAGAAAAATCCGCACAGAAATGAGTTCTTTAATGGGCATGAAAGGTGTTGAGCCAAAAAACCAAAAATTTGATAAAAATTCACAAATTTGCAGGAAAATGCAAGTTTCTTCACTTTGATTATTTTGACGAGAGCCTGATTCCACCACGCTGCCTCACATATAATATCATCGATAATATGCTATGAGCAAAACGTGCCAAAGTGGTTGATAGTATATTATATTTTT